TGTGTGTGTGTGTGTGTGTGTGTGTGTGTGTGTGTGTGTGTGTGTGTTGGAGGGGGTGAGAAGAAATAAGAAAAGCAAGAAATAAAGGGAAGGGAACAAAAAACAGAAAATTGCGTCTTACACATACTCAACTATCCATTGTATCACTATGGCAAGGATACACTAACTTGCACAAATGCATAAACAACAAACTATATAAAAATATAAATTACATCACATACGCAAAATCACAACAGAATAAGCAAATCAATGATATATTCATAATGAAAACGACTGACCGAGACACAGCTTTGGATGGAGGGATGGAAGGAGGGATGGGAGGGAGGAAGGCGAGAAGGAAGGATAGACGGAGGTGTGGAGGACCACAGCTTCCTACTGCAGAGTGGAGACTGGGACAGGAGGAAGCAGGAGGGGGCGTCTGCCATCTCCAACTGTTCCATCCCAACAACATCACACACACAATCTCTCGCTCCTTCCTAATACATGCAGACTCACTGGAGCTGTACTAAACAGGAACAGCCAAAAGTGAAATATTAAACATTTAGTGTGATGATTTAATGGATTGCTTCAACTGAAGATATGGCGTCACGGCACGCTTAATACTCCAGATCGGCTCATATCAATTGAAGTCTGCGCGTAAATTGACGCGTTTTCGTTTTTCAACGCTCGTGCAGTGCCTGTTCTAAAAATGTCCTTGATGTTGTGACTTTCTCCAGTTCCGCTCATCCAAACAACTTCGGTCTCAACACTGCTGTACCCAGCATACCGTTCGGCGGTTTGACAGTTAATATTGGAGCGAGCGACAGAGAGCGAGTTGTACCCAGCATGCCGTTCTTTTCCTGTTGTTTGTCAATTTCAAGTCAAGAAAGTCGCAGTTTGTCGTAGTATCATTTAGTTTTGTGTGAAACCGCTCAGTGAAATACATATCTTGTCTCCCGCAATGTTCGTCACCAGCACGGCCGTTAGCTAGCTAGCAAAGGCGACTTAGCTATGGTCGACGCACAAATGTAGCGTTATCTTATCTGATGTGTTTTGACCAGCGACTGTTTTACTCAGCCGGGGAGCGAAAGAATGAGGACGATCTGTTGTTCGTGTGAGTACATCCCGGTAGGAAACACACAGGCATCGTAGCTTCAGCGAGAGACGTAGCTTCAGCGAGAGACATCACTTACGCAACTTTTATGCTAATTATGCATTTTCACATTGCTATACTTCAACAGTTTTACGACAAACTGCCACTTTCTTGGCGGGCAAAATTCTCTTTTGAATTGACAAACATCGTATGTGTAGGTTATTTCATGGCACAATTCAAACTGGATCAAAACATTTTTTATCTCTCGCCGTTGACTATCGTATATACGTATTTTTTCCCGAAATAAGGTCCAATGGTGGTCAACCGGAAAGGGGCGGGACTTTGCTACTCCATACCGTTTGGCAGTTAAAAGGCACTTTATAAATACAGGTCCTCCTCCTGCAGTCTGTCTCCCTGGCTGTTACAAAGTCCTCAGCAATGCAGCTGGTAGTGTGTTTGTTGTTGTCTCTTAACACTGCCACCGTTAAAGAGTCTGCTCTTGTGGTAGTAAAACTGTGCTCTGAGGTTGTAAAATGGCTACTGGGCTAGAGGTAGAAAGTACTGGGGGTTTTGTTTTAATTGCACTGAAAAAACGGCAATTCAAGAAAGTTACAATATCTTCCTGGTGAAGCTCCTTTCCAGTAGAGGTCAGTTGAGGGGTTGCTTTTTTTGCCAGGCAACCTTCAATCAAATCTGATCAAACCACACCTACACAGTCCCGATAAAGCTAGGGTTGGTCATCTTGAAAAACTTACAAGAGTACGGTAGATTTAAAGAATTATCCAACCAAAAAACCCAGCCCAGCCTTGGCATCGATAAAAGTAGCTAGCAGCACTAACTCCAAACGTCGCTAAGTCTAGCGAAAAAGTCGCCAAGTCAGCAACACCGACAGCCCGTCCCTTCAGGCCTCCCTCCAAAGCCAAAGAAGATTACCAACCCTAGCTTTAAACTCTTAATAATAGCTTAGTTTGGGGTTGCTTTCTCAGAGTTGTTGCTTATTTATTTATGTAAATAAGATGAAGCCTAAAAAATATATATATATTTTTAAGGGCTGTCTTGTCAAGACATTTTTCTTTCTTTCCACCCTGGTCGATGGTTTTGTTTGATACTAGCATATTGTTGCGGATAGCAGAATGTTGTGCTTGTTGGTAGAAAGGAATTGTGGGCAGTGTGGTTGCTGGCTGGCTGCGCTGGGGTAGTATTACAGTTTATCTTGATATATCTCGATATACAGTATAGTGCAGAGTTTAAAGAAAATTACAGAACCAACACAAAACCTGACAGAGGAGCAGCACTCAGAGAAAGAAAGTCGCAATTACAAATCTGTCTACTTCTTCAGCGCTACGGACAGCACCATGGATTTATCAATCCACAGCACAGTTAAGCTACTGATGTTTCTGAGTCATGGTCGGAGCCTTAGATTGTAACTTGCACAAACCTCAGTCAGATAAAGGAGTCAGTCAAGACTAGACTAACACATTAATCAAACAACCTCTGGCCCTGCCCTCCCTCTGTAAGTAGGGGATGGAGGTTAACAAGGGGGATGCATTTTTTTGTCATTCTAGGGGATGGGTTCCTCCCTCACCCCCCCTTAAAATCACCTACTACACCTACCACTCCCTGGTAAGATGTTAGTAGTGGTACTTACTATGCGCAATGACAATGAAGTTGGATCTAATCTATGGTTAGGTAGTAGGAACGCCAGTGACTAAAAATTAAATGGTGACTAACAAAAAAAAAAAAAAGACAAAAACTCTTCACTGCGGGTAAAGGCGAAGCAGGACGGGGCTTGAAAAGTGTGCATGCTAAGCTGACTGTCACTGAATGATTAAGGGTAAGAAATATAGCGCAGTGCTGCTAGCGCTGCATGCTGGGAGAGTGGAACTAAGGAGGGCGGTGGTTAAGGAGCTTAAGGTGGTCTGGCTCGGTCGGGATCCAGAAGCCTCGCACTGAGCCGCACTCCTCTCTACCTGTTTCTACGTGTTACATAAAGAGTCTTGATAAGCTTCTTTATCAAATTGTTTAGTAAGCTGCCGTGGACGACCGGCCTGCTTACATCCATCCCAGTCATAGATTTGCATAAAATTAAAGAATGAAGAAAAAAAAATTGCAGTGTGTAAAAACGGTTTGGATTGGATTTTCATAGCTTTTATATAAAAATTGTTGTGCAACATATGAACACTGAAAAACAGCGGCCGTCAGCCGCCTCCAAAGCCTGCGCCTCATTCTCCGCATTTACCGTCTCACCCTTTTCCAGTGGCGAAAAACAGCAAGACCTTTTCTTTTGACATTTGTCATCCCGGTGCTATTATGTGCTTTCTAATTGTATGAAGAGGCAGACTCAGGGGGCTCGACAGGAGGATTTTTTCCCCTTGGCAACTGTCAGGTTTTTCCCAAATGATGTACAGATTTTAGGCATTCTATTATGAAATGGCTTAGAGAACAGTAGATATTGTACATATTCGGTTTGCTCATTTCTGCTTGGAGACGGTGGCAAATTAATCAATTGTTCTGGAAAATGAGGAAAAACTCCACCGGTGTGACACAAATTTCAGTCGACTCCCATGAAGAAATACTACTGAGCCTATGAAAACAGTTGCATAACGTCCAGGATCTTTTTAAAGTAACCCTGGTGATGTCATAGTGATGTCATCAGGGTTATCTCAGCTTGGGCGTGGAGACTAAAAGTTTAAGACAAAAAGCCTGTAATACAAACTGGGCCATGAACATCAAAAGATGTGCACATTTACCAGACAGGGGAAGTCTAACGCAAGATGCTACTGAGTTGCATTATGGGAAATGTGGGAAACCACAGTCGGGACTAGAAATCTCGGCCTCCACCGCTACGTTTTTGACCACTTTTTTTAATGCGTCACTTTAAAGTCCCCCAACTTTATGAAAGTGCAATATTATTTTGCCAGACTACGCCTTTAACTACTGGTGAGGGCTCATAATAAAAAGGATTTGGACAAAGAACTCTTTTTCTTTTAAAGAGTTCTCCAGGGGTTTAGAATTACACTTCCATAAAGTTGGGGGGACTCACCAGAGACAAATCTTAAAAGAAAATGGTCAAAATTTTAGTCAACACTTCCCATAATGCATCTCGATAGCATATTTAGTTAGACCCTGACTGATGGCGTTATCGGGATCATTTTCTGAGACCTGACGAAGCTCCTCCAGAGACATGGAGGACGTTACTTGAGTATTAATTTGACTTTGACATGTAGATATTGGTAGAATGCCCCTTTAGCATTTATTGAGTTATTTTACACCACGAGCTGCCCAACAACAAGTTCTCTCTTTTGAGCAATTCACCAAGAGTAACTGTGGGCTAAGTGCCTTGCTCAAGGGCACCTTTACTGGTTTTCCAAAGGGGAGGTATAGAAACATTCGGTCCCTTTCAACTCCCTGATGGTTTCAGGATTCAGACTGACAACCTTCTGATCCCAAGCCAATTCCTCCAACCTCTTAGTCCCTTTCATTAGAACTTGGGAAAAGACGCTTTCATCAGACTCCCCCTGGAGATGAAAGCAGCGACTGTTTGTGCTCATTTTTTGTACCTGCGGTTACACCTTGATTTGACATCAGGGACCATAACCCGGACGGAGGCGGCCTCTGTCAGCCGGCAGAAGAGGAAGCTCCGGTTCTGTGTGCAGATCAAAGTGTCTTAACAGTTAGAAATGGCCTTTATTACCTCGCCCTGACCTTCACATCTCCACAGACGGAGCAGGGCTGCGTTGCACTCTGCCAATCTTGCAAGCGGCTCTGGCCGCGGGCTTTCAACGAGCCCTGAAAAATAAAGATGGGAAAATCTAATGCCAATGTCTACAACATTAATAACTCCTTGTCCCGGCAGACACAAATAGAAAGAACAGGCTGATCCGAGAGGCTGGGTCGGGAACATCAGAATGCTCTTACCTAAGACGAATTATCGTAGCCATTCCAGAGGAACATTTGCCTGCTACGATGGATATTTTCAGAATGAGTAAGAGGAAGCCAAGTTGATCAGAAAAGCTCTCTCTGCAGCCCCCCTCTGGGGTCACCGCCACACAGGCGTAATTAGACGGCTCCTCACAGAGCTCCTCCCAGCGCCGGTGTGCCAACACTGCCATCTACTGTCGGACAACGGGAATCTGCCGGAGCCCAACAGATCTCCTCCAGCAGGCCTGCCGGGCCGACATAGCTCATGAGTAAGCCTGCACTCCAAACGGCAGCAACAACATTTCGGCTTTCGGTGTGCTCATTAACTGCTGCAGGTGTAAAAAACGAATAAATAAATAACACTTCCGTTAAGACAACTGCTATACTCCAGTATGGCAGTCATATAATTATTATCTGTATCGAGTTCAGCAAAACCTAGAAATCAGAAATTAAAAAAAAAAAAAAACTTTTATGGAAATGTTTGAAGTTATCAGAAACAAACGTAAATGTGATTGACACACAAACTTCTTATAGGACCTCCACAGATGGTTCTCACGCTAAATCTTACTATATCCTTCTTTTGACTCATTACGACTTTTACGAGCGATATTTTCAAATAGCACGAGTTGACAAAACTGCAGGGGAAATATCGAATGTGAGCTTCCCTCTCGTATGTTGCAGCACATTGAAGTATGCGACACAATGGAGGAGTCTTAATCGCGACACGGTGTGCGTGACGCTGCTTCTCATCTTCTGAGGCTCGCTATTGGGTGTTTCGGTGCTTGAGGGAGGGCCTTGAGGGTAGTTTACTTACTATTTAAGAATCACACTTTGACTTTGCTTGACGCAACTTTGGGCTTCTATTGAAAAAGGCCTACTGTTACTGATCTTTTTTATTCATAAGTCAAAGTTCAGGACTCATTTTTAAGATAATTTCTTAAAAGTTGTATCCATGACAGCCTAGATATTACTTGGTCGTGTAAGGCAGAGGTGAAATCTGAGGGTTTTGCCAACCTTAGAATCAAAACACTTTATTTATATAATACAACACATATCGGATGAAAGAACACTTTATGTTACAAGACGACAGAAACTGCAAGGGTAACTTTCTGCGCCTCATAAATTATTGTTCCGTGAGCCGGTGTCCCCGCTCTGTGTTTGGGTGTCACAGGCCGAGGATGAAGCGGTCGACCGCCATCATGTACGCTGGTTTCAGGTAGCGCTGCAGCTCGCTTTTCTTCGCCCACAGAAGTGGAGGGTTTGGGGCCGCGGGGGGCCCGCTGTCCGACAGGACGGCTTTGAAGAAGAACACCTTTGTTCCGACTGTGCTCTCCGTCCGAGCGGCTTTGGGCAGTTTGTACTTGTACACTCCGCAGGGGGCGTTGCCGAGGAAAGTCGCCTTGAGACCAGCTGCTGCGGGAAGACAAAACAGGGTGTGAGCTTGTTCGGCTGGAGACTAAAGGTGAGCTGAAGTGCAGATGTTCCCAAGTTTAACGCAGAAGCTGCACCTGTTACGTTTTTGCCGTATTAAGTACGGTGCTACCCCGATACTGTTGTTTCCCATCCTCCGCTGTGACTTTTCGCAATGAAGTTTGAATCAAACCTCACGTCCTCTGAATCACGTGCTCCCAGCTGGCCTAAACGTGTGGAGGAAGGCGCCGACACGGCCGTGTTAAGAGATCCGTCTGGCTGTATTAAAAATGGATCGACCCCTGCCACAGTGAGGCACTTTAAGTAAAAACCCTCCGCCGAATGGCACGCGTAAATGTCAAGTGGAAAGTCTTAATGGGGAGTGATTGATGGAGTTGGCACATTAATCGTTCATGAGCGGTGTTGTGGAACAGTTTAACATGCTCCGTCACTGGCGTTTTGTTTAAATGCTTAGGAGCTTAAAAGGCTCGGTTTCCGTCAGAGGGGGGGGGGGGG